TGTGTGTGTGTGTGTGTGTGGTGCTGGGGGGGGTCGTACTATGTTCACATGTTCAACACATCCTGTCTCTTTGTTGTCAGTAAGTAATATGTCAACGTATCCATGGAGCGCTGAACCAGCTGATCCCTGAATAAGTCCGGCTCCAGTTTCCTGTCCGCCGCCGCGACGCCACGACACCACAGAAGAAGACGCAAAGGTAAAAAGATAGTTTGGTCTGAGGATTAACATCAGCAGCTGAGCGGACAGAAATACACAGATAATAGAATTAAAGGAGGGTCGGGTCAAAGTCACGGCTCAGTGTGAACACACGCTACACGCTTACTACCCATCATGCACCTTGTTCATGAACAGAGAGATCAAACCAGAGGATGAAACATTCAGGTCCGATAAGAAACAGGATTCAAACACTAAACCTGGAAGGACACACGCTGACCAATCAGAGGAAGCCATCCTCAGTGTCCCCGCCTCCTGTCCATGATGACGCTGAGTGGGCGGGACAAAAACTTTAACTTCCTCCAAACAGAACAGAGATGAGTTTATCTCTGTGGCCACACTTCCTGTGACATCATCAGCATGTCACATCCAGGAAGCTGTGGGAGCTGCTGACGCTACTGCTACAACACACACACACACACGCACACACACGCACACACACAGACAGACACACACACAGAGAGACAGACAAGGTGTGTCTACCTGAGGCTGCGTTGCCGTTGGAAACCAGGTGATGGTGGTCCAGGTGGGTGTGGTCACTCCCGTCCAATACACCGTGTGCCCCAATACGCACACTCAGCACGCACATGCACGCCAGCCACGCACACACACGCACCATGTCTGAGGAGAGAGGGAGGAACCTGGTCAGTCTGAGTTTCAAAATAAAAGTTAGTTTCTTCTTAGGGAACGTCTGCGTCCTGCTCTGAGCTGCTGTCTTCTGATTGGCTCAGAAGATGTTAACGAGCAGCTCTATGGGTGTTCCTGCTGTGCGTCACTGAGGGGCCCCGCCTACTTAACATGGCGTCTGATGTTTTAGGGTTTCCTGTTTGATGATTAATGAATTAAAATGTCGTTGAAAGACATCGGGAGCCGACGTTAACTCACATCAACACATCGAACTCTGCAGGAAACTTTCAGATCCCGAGGAGGGAAAACTTTCCCCAGACTAAAGTTGTTGAAACCTTTTCATGTTTCTGCAGCGGATATAAGCTGCTCCCTGATTGGTCGTCTGAGGCGACAGCTCTGCTTTCTATTTGTTTCTTATTTTCGTCTCTGATGAAGTGATGAGACTGAATCATCCACCAGGGGGCGGTGCAGCTGAGCTGGCTTCACTTCACGTCGTCCATGTTTATGAACAGTGTCAGAACAGTGAGGAACCTTCAAGAACCTTCAGGAACCTTCAGGAACCTGAGGAGAACCACTGAGAACACACAGCAGGAGGCGTTCAGGGACCTCAGTTCCTCTCAACATCTCACTCACATGTTTTCACCTGAAATAAAAACAACCAGCTGAAACATCGATACTCTGCTGATCGGTGAGTTGATCGGTGAGTTGATCGGTGAGTTGATCGGTGAGTTGATCGGTGAGTTGATCGGTGAGTTGATCGGTTAGTGGACTGATGTCCGGTGGCGGGATCAGAGGTCAGAGGTCACACAGATGTTCAGTTTGTGACTCACCTCCGCTGCAGCTGTGATCGATCAATCCATCGATCCGATCGATCCGTTCTGTGACGTAATGATCCACAGCTCGAACCTCACTTCTTCACCGCGCGCGACTCAAAACTGATCAAACTGAAAAAACGCACGCGCAGAGACCCGCCTGCTGCGCGTTCAAGGACCCGCGGAAAAACAAGCACTCGGGGTTTGGTTTAAATAAAAACATCTTTATATAAACTTCAGTTAGTTTCTGAATCATCCAGGCTTTATTGAATCATACTGTATTTATGTTATCATTTCATTCAACAAACACTGAAGTTCTCAGCTTGTTTTATAAATAAAGAATCTG